TACTGCATTTGTTCTAGCCTAGGTGACAGAGTGAGACCCTGTTTCTACAAAAAAAAAAAAAAAAAAAATCAAAAAACTAACTGAGCCTGATGGTGCACATCTGTAGTTCTGCTACTCAGGAGGCTCAGGTGAGAGGATTGTCCAAGTCCAGGAGGTTGAGGCTGTGGTAAGCCGTGATCATGCCACCGCACTCCAGCCTATGCAACAGAGTGAGAACAACTCAAAAAAAAAAAAAGGATTAAGAACTAAGCAAACTTGATAGAGAAGACATTGGTAATAAATGGAAAGAAGTAGTTCCCTAAACTGGTGAGTTCAGAGAAGCCTCTTCCAAAAAATGTCCTTATGAATAAGACTCTCAAAGAAGGCACTTCAAGAATACCACACATCTTTAAATGTTTCCAAAAGAAATATTAGTGTTAGCTCATGTCCACAAGAAGAAAGGACAACGAGCAAAGTGTTAGATACACTAAAAATCAGAGCTCTCAATTACAAAAACAGATTCACAATTATTTATTAAGTTATAACAGGACTATGTAGATATATATCTCTAACCTCTAGAGGTTGACTTCTTCCACAAAAACCATGTTACCAACAGAAATAGCATATTCTGAGTAGTCGTTAGATTTGAGTTACGCGTACAAGTCTCTTACAAGTCAGAGTTTCAGATAAATTATTATTGTAGCCCCTACTATAGTTTGAATGCCCCCTCCAAAGCACACATTGAAATATAATAGCCGTTGTGACAGTATTAAGAGGTGGGACTGTTGAAAGGTAATTAGACCATGAGGTTTCCATCCTCACGAATGGAGTACTGTCCTTACCCCAAGATTGGCTGTTATAAATTGAGTTCAGCTCTGTCTCTAGCTCTTGCCCTCCCTGGTCTTTCCACCTTCTGCCATAGAATAATGCAGCACAAACGTCCCCACCAGATGACAGCACCTTGAAATTGGATTTCCCTGCCTCCAGAACTGTGAGAAATGAATTTCTTTTCTTTTTATAAATTACCCAGTCTGTGGTATTCTGTTATAGCACAAAAAAAGAGATTAAGATAGTCTCCTTTTTTCATATCTTAAAAAAAAAAGAATATTTATTTTTTTAATTGCTACCATTTAAATTACAAAAATAAAATATGCTCACTATAATTAAAACAATTCAGAAATATAGTTGCTCAACCATACACCAACACTCTATCTTTATTACCCTGAAATCACTTGTTAAAATCAGTTGAATATTCTATGTTTTTCTTAGCATATATAAACATATACATGTTTACATAGGACTTAATGAATTCATACAAGATATATATTTTTCTATAATGTCTTTTACTTAATATAATCATAGTTTTCAAGCCAATATATTTAACAGGTATGCTTCTTCATTCTTAGTATCTGTAAAAATGTAAGCATATCATTTTTAGTGTTTTTCTTTGACAAATAATAATTGTGTATGTTTATGAGATACAATATGTTTTAATGTCACTGTGGAAAGAGAAAATCAAGCTAATTAACATATGCATCACCTCACCAACTTATCATTTTTTTGTGGTAAGAATGTTAAAAATCTATTCCTTTAGCAATTTTGAATTATACATAATTATTAACTGTGGTCACCATGCAGTACAATTGATCACTAAAACTTTTTTCTTCCAGTCTAACTGAAACTTGGTTTGCTTTGATCGATACCTCTCCTTTCCTCATTCCTCATTCCTCTTCCTTCTTCCTCCTCCCTCTCAGCTCCACCTTCCCACCCCCCTCATACTCTAGTAACCACCTTTCTGCTCTGTTTTTATGAGATTAACTTATTTAGATTCCACATGTAAGTGAGATCACACAGTACTTGTCTTTCTGTGTCTAGCTTATTTCACTTAACATAATGTGCTCCAAGTCCATCCAAGTCATCATAAATAACAGATTTCCTCCTTTTCAAAGGTTGTATAGTATTCCATTGTACATATATTCCCTATTTTCTTTATCCATTCATCCACTGATAGACACTTAGGTGCTTCTATAGCTTGGCTATTGTGAATAGTGATGCAATGAACATAGGAGTGCAGATCTCTCTTAAACATACCAATTTCAATTCCTTTTGATATATACCCAGAAGTGGAATTGCTGGAGCGGTATACCATAATGTGACAGATAATTACAACAGTTCTAGTTTTTGCTATTACAAATAATGCTGCAATTAATGTCACTTATGTATCTTTTTTTAAGTACTGGTCCTTACATTTCTATCACATAAATCCCCTTAAGTATTAATAAAATGTCCAGGTCAAAGGATGACATTTTAATAAATATTGCTATATTAAGTTTCCAAAATGTAGTAACTTACAGACCACCAACAGTTTGAGGGTAACTTTTTCCCCATTCCCTATTATTACTAGAAATCATCATACCCATTTTTTGCCCATCTGACTAGGTGGAAAAAGTGCTGAACACCAGCAGTCCCAAACTTTTTTATCATCAGGGCCCTGTTTCATGGAAGACATTTTTTCCATGAACCAGGGGTAAGGGGATAGATCATCAGGCATTAGATTCTCATAAAGAGAGCATAACCTAGATCCCTTGCATACGTGGTTATAGGGTCCATGCTCTTATGAAAATCTAATGCCACCACTGAGTTGACAGCAGTCAGAGCTCTGCTTGCCCACCATTCACCTCCTGCTGTGCAGCCCAGTTCCTATCAAGTCACAGACCAGTACTGGTCCACGGTTAAGGGTTGGGGACCCCTGCTATACACTACTAGTGATGGAGAGTATCTTTTCATTATCCTTTTGCATGTACCCTTTTGTAAGTTGCCTGTCTGTTCAGATCCTTTATCCTTGATTCTGTTGGATTGTCTTTTTCTTACTAATTTGAAAGAACTTATTTATTATGTCTTTTAACATACAAAGCTTTTAAATGTTTTCCACAATGAAATCTGCCAGTGTTTTCTTCTGTATTATAATTCTGTCTTGCTTAGGCCTCTTCTGCGATCCAAGATTATTAAAATAATGTCCTATATTTCCTCCTCATTAGTTTTTTATAATTAGGTTTTTGTTATTTTACATTTAGATCTTTACTCCACCTGGAATTTATTCACACAGTGTTATTACTCAGAAGTTGGGTATATATCCAAAGGAATACCATTCATTGAACTATCCATCTTTACATGCTTCCTCCTAGAGTAACAGGTCAGTACAAATAGCTAAGACGACAGATAAAATGCCTAGAAATTCTGAAACTTCACTAATTGAGGCAGCATTTCAATCTTATCAAATCAATCTTATTAAAAGACATTCATCTCCCAGCATTTTGGGAGGCTGAGGCACGAGGATTGCCTGAGCCCGTGGGCTGGATACCAGCCTAGGCAACACGGTGAGACCACATCTCTACAATAAATCAAAAAATTAGCCGGGCACGGGCATAGTAGCACCGCCTGTATTTCCAGCTACTTGGAAGGCTGAGCAGAAGGATCACCTGAGCCCAGCAGGTCAAGGCTGCGGTGACTGTGAGCATGCCACTACACTCCAGCCTGGGCGACAGAGTGAGACTCCAACTCACAAAAAAAAAAAAGACATTCATCATTTTCTCTTTAAAAGAAATCACACATTAGTACACATGCATACAGTAGACCAACATCAGCATACAATGTGAAAGTATTTAGAAGTAAATTTAAGTAGATCTTATCATATAAGCCTAATTTTGTTTTCAACAAAAATGGTAAAAAGAAAAATTATCACTGCTTGAAACTTCAAGAGTATTCATTGATTTGGGTTACAACTATTTATTGAGCACCAACTCACAGATGCTTAAGATACAATGGGAAACAAAACAAGTTTGATTCCTGCTTTCACAAAGCTCAAAATTTACTAGGAGCTTCTCTCTCTCCTAGAAAAAAAATGTTATTTAAGTGTAAACAGAAAAAATTAATGTATGTTCACACAAATGCATTGCAGTGAAAAACATGTTGGCAAATTTTATGACACATTCTATACTTCCTATTTCCAAAATATTACCTTATTTCAAATTTATCCTGATGACTGTCTCACTACTGTAATCATGTTGAAAACACTGCTAGGGAGTTATGATTAATTCAATTATCTACACCTAGAAATAGCTATGCTTACAATCTCAACAATATTTACTTTCTTTCATTACAGTAAACAAGAACCTCAATAAGAGAATCAAAGGTATTTCTTTTTTTTTTTTTTTTTGCGTTGGAATCTCATTCTGTCGTCCAGACTAGAGGTGCAGTGGCACACTCCAACCACCGCAGCCTCGAACTGCTGGGCTCCAGCGATCCTTCTGCTTCAGCCTTCCAAGTAGCCGGAACTACAGGTGCGTGCTACCACGCCCAGCTAATTTATTTATTGTAGAGATGAGGTCTCACCAAGTTGCCCGGGTGGGTCTTGAACCCGCGGGCTCAGGCAATCCACTTGCCTCAGCCTCCCAAAGTGCTGGGATTACAGGCTGAGCCACCGAGCCCGGCCCAAAGGTATTTCTTTAAAGTACATGTAGATTTTCAAATATTTCAACCAATCCTATAGAGACTCAGCAAATGGCAATACTGTGTCGCTTGGAGAGAAAGCAAGAACTCTAGCAGCCCTTCAATGGCAATAGGTAACAATTCATTAGTAACAATCACCTTAAACATGAGGTACCACAACCCAGAGACTGTCCCCACTCTTAGACCTAAGCCTTAGGATGTTTGGCCCTCTGGCCACGCCCCCCACCTCAATCCCAACCCACGGCCTCCTCCACACACCCCAGCCCCTCCCAACCGAATGGAGAGCGGGACAAAGCACCGCCCAGGGAAATGAGCCATGACTCCAGCTCCCGCGGGGTGACCTTGCCCAAGCGTCCCCTTCTCAATTTTCCCACCTGTGAGTTGAGGATGGTACTCGGTGCCCGCGTGCACCCTCCGACCTGGGTTTGGCACCTACCGCCGCAAGGCTGGAGAAAAGCCCCAGCCCTATACCCCGCGCCGCCCCCGTCGCCGTCCGCGGCCACGCGCGCTACCTGCGATCTGGGAGACGAAGGCTTCCGCCACTAGAGACATGTCGGTGGGGAGGCCCTGTGCCCGGATGCCTGCCCGCTACCGGCCTCCACGTCCTCCTCCGCAACCCCGGCGGCTCCCGGCAGCTCACAAGCCTAGCCCTACTGAAGTTCAGACTCGCAAAGTCCACCCCGGCAGCGGCGGCGGCACTGAAGTCCCCAAGGTTACCGCCAGGCCCAGCCAGGAACTTCCGGCGCCGTCGACTACGGCGCTTCCGCCGGCCCCGCCCCCGCCCCCGCCCCCAGCCAACCCCAACGACTTCCCAGGCGGGAGCCGAGCGTTGCCGGCGCCCAGCTCCACGCCGGGGCCGGCAGGGAGAAGGGCGGGGCATGCCCTGTACGCTACTCGTCTCCAAGCTACCGAACCGGCAGGGAAGCCCTGGAGATTTTGAGTGTCCTTTCTGCAAGCCAGAATTGTGTGAGCAAGTAACATGATTAAGCTCTCACTGGGTACCAGAAGGTTTTTAAAATATTGACGGTGTTCTCTTTTTATTTTGTCCTCAACAACTCAGTAGGACGACAGTGTTTTATGTTTTTGCCATTTTACAAGTAAGAATACAACCTCAGAGTGTGTGAACTGCTTGCCTAGGCACTCCGCGGAGGCCTAGATCCAAAGCCACATGAATTCCCTCTCTTCCACTATCCTGCTGGGTTGATTAGTCCATGGGCAGACGTTAGTGTTTAAGTGTTTCTTTAATCAAATCTGCTTGCCAGAAAGGAGGGTTGAGCAGCGCCTAAGCCAGCCGAAAGGTAGCTTGTCCTCCGACCCCAAATACCCAAAATGAAGTTCAGCTTGGTGAATAAGACACATTAGTTTCACACACTTCTCACCTTGGGGAGGAGGGATTGTTGAAGGGGGCGGGAAGAGGAGGAGACACTAAATTTCTTGATTCCGTGGTGACTTTCTCCCCCCTTAACCTCAAAGCTTCCTAAAGTTTACATTTTTAAGTATATGCAATTAAAAATAATAGGCTGGGCTCAGTGGCTCAGCCTGTAATCCCAGCACTTTGGGAGTCCGAGGCGAGTGGATTGCCTGAGCCCGTGGGTTCGAAACCAGCCCGGGCAACTTGGCGAGACCTCGTCTCTACAATAAAAAAAAAAAAATGAGCCGGGCGTGGTAGCGCGCGCCTGTAGTTCCGGCTACTTGGAAGGCTGAGGCGGAAGGATCGCCGGAGCCCAGCAGGTCGACGTTGGGGTGGCCGTGAGTGCTTTCCAACCTGGGCTACAGAATGAGACTCCAACTCAAAGTAATAATAATAATAATATACATTATAGATTTAGAGGTATAAAATATTACAAATGGAACAGGCTTCAGAGATTATCTGGTGAGCCAAATCCCCCTTTCACTGATGGAAACAGTATCAGAGAGGTGAGGTGACTATTTAAAATCACACAGGAAATCAAAAAGATAGCTTACTAAGTTTTTGCAAAAGAAACCTGGTGGTTTTTTTTTTTTTAAAGCAAGGGTGTATTAAGAAGACAGAAAAACCTCCACAGTGGAAGGGAATCCTAAGGAGGGTTGCCCTAAACCTGGTGTTCTTAGAATTACTGTCCACGACAATTAAAAAGCCATGTTTCCATTATTTGTTCTCTATAATAGAGATCTCTGAAACTGTTTTACATTCTATTGTGCATAATTCTGCCTCCTTAACTAGCGTATTAGTTTCCTAGGGCTGCCATACAGCCCTATTCAAACTGAGTGATTTAAAACAACAGAAATTGGCAGGGCCGGTGGCTCAAGCTTGTAATCCCAGCACTTTGAGAGGCCAAGGTGAGAAGATTGTCTGAGTCCGGGGGTTTGTAACCAGCCTGGGCCACATGGTGAGACCTTATCTCTACAGTAAATCAAAAAATTATCCAGGTGTGGTAGCGCATACCTGTAGCTCTGGCTACTTGGAAGGTTGAGATGGAAGGATCTAGCAGGTCAAGGCTGCAGTGGCCGTGAGTCTGCCACTGCACTCCAACCTCGGCAACAGAGTGGAACTCCAACTCAAAAACAAAACAAAAAATTTATTCTCACAATTCTGGAGGCTAGAAGTCTAAAATCAAGGTATCAGCAGGGTCAGGCTTTCTCTCAAGGCTCTATAAGACCCCTTCCCTGCCTCTTCATAGCTTCTAGGGGTTGCCAGCAATCCTTGGCCGACCTTTGCTTGTAGACACATCACTCCAATCCATGACCCCATCATCACATGACATTCTCCCTTTGCGTGTGCCTACCTTACCTATTAAGGGCACCAGTCATTGTGTTAGGGCCCACCCTAATCCAGTATGACCTCATCTTAAATTGATTTCATCTATAAAAAATCCTATTTCAAAATAAGTCATATTCACAGATATCAGAGTTTAGCATATGAACGTGTCTTCGGGGGGACACAATTCTACCCACTGCACAAGATAATACATTTTTTCAGGCTTATCAATATTTATATGCCCCTAATCAAGGAAGCTTGTTAAACTAAATTTAAATTTACCTAACAACTTACATGGGCTTAATCACAACAGTGTCTTGGGAAGTAGTGTCTTCTCTCTATTCGAAATTGACAGTTGACAGCTGTGGATGGTAGAGATACAAGAAAGATAACAGATTTTTCTTGTTTGTGTGGAGAGAGGTACACTGATAGTAATGAATACATGATGTCCAATTTCCTCCTCAATCTATAGATGATATTGACCAAGAGAAATTAGCTATTGCAGATATATTAGTATCAAACAAAAGAAAAGTTTTCCGTTTCTGTCTGTTCACAGTGGAGAATTATGTATAACTGAAAATGAAGATCTGTCATCACTTCAAGTTCTATTACCAACTTTGGTTTGTCACTTTTTTTTTTTTTTTTTTTTGAGTTGGAGTCTCTGTCGCCCAGGCTGGAGTGCAGTGGCACACTCATGGTCACCCCAATGTTGACTTGCTGGACTCAGGGTATCTTTCCTCCTCAGCCTTCCAAGCCAGAACTACAGGCGTGCGCCACCACACCCAGCTCATTTTTTTTATTTATTGTAGAGATGAGGTCTCACCAAGTTGCCCTGGCTGGTCTCAAACCTGAGGGCTCAGGCAGTCCACTCGCCTTGGCCTCCCAAAGTACTGGGATTATAGGCTGAGCCACCGAGCCTGGCCGGTTTGTCACCTTTAAAAGCTGAAGATACAGTGTTCTGACTACTTTTTGACAGATTTGGAGTTTTTAAAATTTCTCCATCATAGAACCTGTGAAGGGACTTGAGCCAAAGTCCTTAGGATTAAAGATTGGACTGAGGAAACCAAAATCAAATAAGTCCAGAGGGTAGAGATCAATGCCAGAATGACAAGAGCACACTTGCAAGAGAAACAGCAAGATTAGAGGCATAGTAGAACGTGCCCTCACAATTTTAGTTAAGCATCTATGGCTTTATGCATGGTACATGGGTGAACTGGGCTGGCTCAAAGCTCCCAGATTGAAACTGACAACAATCTTTGCTATATGGCAAGTGTCTTCAAAATAGCTGAATCTGGGTAATTTATACACAACAGAAATGTATTGCTAACAGTTCTGGAGGCTGGGATGTCCAAGATCAAGGTACCAGCAGACTCGGTCTTATGAGGGCCCCATTCCTCATAAATGACACCTTCTTCATGTCCTCACATAGCAGAAGGGCAAAGGGGGCAAATAAACTTCCTCAGGCCTCTTTTATAAGAGCATTAATCCCATACACAATGGGAGAGCTCTCTTAACCCAATCACCTGCCAAATGCCCCACCACTTAATACTGTCACATTGGCAATTATGTTTCAACATATGAAATTGGGGAGAACACAAATATTCATAAATATTCAGATTTTGGCAGCAAGCTTTTTAGAAAGAAAAAAAAAACAGATCTGCTGGGAGCACTGTCTATACTCAACTCTTTCTTCATTTTAGCCAGGAAAGCAGAATCATCAGCACCATATGGAATCACTTTTTCTCTCTGACTGATAGTTCTTTTGCTTCCCACACAGGCAAATTTAGGCTGGAAAGAATCTGTAATGTGGGAGGTCTTTATTACTAAAAATTAAATCCAATAAAATGCAGATGTCTTGATGGTGCCCACGAATAAACTGTCTTTGTAATAAATAGTCAACTGGAGAAAATGTATTTATGCATCTGTATTAGGACAACTGGCAGATTTAAAACTGAAGATCTGTTTAAGATCACCACAATTAAGGAAAATACAAGAAAACAAGCCACTGGAATTTTTAAGAATGAGGTAATAAAACAAAAGTGCTAGAGAATCCATATGTTACCAAAAGGATAATCACATACTTTTTATTATAAAATATCAATGCATGACATTAACAATCTAATTGTTTGCTTTAATGAAATCACTTATCTTGCAAAACTGTGAAAGTATTTTCATGTCCCTAATGTAGATTTTTATCTTAGTCTATTACATAGAAAATATACAGCTATCATAATGAACATATACTTTATTAAGATTTAAGTGCTAAGGCACTTTAGCAGACTTTCATTTTTCTCTGACAGAATGTTAATAATTTTAATGTAAATATTTTATTTGTAAAAAGATGGCTGCAAGAGAAAAATTTTGTCTAAGATTTCTTCAAAATTATGCTATTTATTTGACAACGATGTATAAATTCAGGGCTTTTTATCAAGTTATCCCCCCTCCCCATCAACAAAATTAACTATGGGTAATTCAATCAACCCAGATAGAGTGTCAATACAGTTAACAACACTAAGTTAACTAAGTTCTGCCCCAGAGCTTTATGTTCAACTGTTAACAGTCTTTACTTCTTTAGAAACAATGGAACTGTAGACTACTACAAGCAATCTAATATATAGGGTTTACAAAGTTTTTTAAAGGTACATAAATGTGACAGTTATTCATTCTTGCATCTCTCAACTCCTTTCCTCCCTTTTTTTAATTCCTAAGAAATCATAACCAATTCAGGCTATTAAACTCTTACCTTTTTTTCACTTTCTAATCTTACTCCCTTGTATTTTAGGTTAACATACACTTACATAAAATATGACCTATTTCACCACAGTTTGGGAAATTATTATGGATTGCAGTGGACATAGATTCTTCAAATATTAACTGGTGTTCAAAAGAAATTAAAATGCTAAATTCCCAAAATATTCTTCCAAATTGGGCCTATATAGTGCCTCAATTTCACAGCTTTACCTTATTATTGAGAGCTGAGTCTTATTTT